TTACACAGCAGGCTTCATACTCACAATAAAGCGTAATCGCATTGGCAGGCCCCATTAGAGCGGCTCCGTCGTCTCCAGAGGCCTTCTTAAAGCACTTTCTCCTGGACGCTCCTCCAGGATCCATCCGTCCCGACTGTCAGCCTCCTCTGGCTCCTGACAGATATCAAATCTGCTCCAGCCCCGTCCTGCTTCAATACAGCCTCTGTCTGAGTGTTCACGACCTGGAGGAGACACAGACCTGCCGGAGAACAACTGCACTGATAGAGGCTTTCTTTTCGCTTCAATTCTGATAGCTTTAGCATGACAGAAGCAGAAGTACTGTCTGTGCTAGCGAAACAGCATAGAAAAAAATACACACATGCATGCACATATAGACACAGGTTGGTTTTTGTGGCTTATTTAAATTTTGCTAAAGGCATTCAGAATATGTGTGCTACCCAAATAATAAGTCTTTCAGGATGTTTTTTTAAGCCAGGTGGGTAAAAAATTACACCAGGGGCTTATCTTTACTTAAAATCAGCTGAATCAACAAAATTCTTACGTTTTTGGGGGACAATATAACTTTTTTTATGTTCGATCCGCCTATACTGTATATTTTTTAAAATAATTAAGTTATGGAATGAAATTGGGACAACATGAAGCAATTGTGTGGAACCCAGCATTTTTTAGTGTCGGTGTAATGTATATTGTAGTGTAAAACCTGCTTTTTACTTTTTATTAGTTTAGATCCCTGAAGTAGCATTTCTTATTGATTTAAAAAAAAATTGCAAATGCTTTGGCACGTGTACAAACAGTGAGTACAATTGTCTATAGTTTAGACAAAACCTAATTGCATATTGTTGATCAAAACTGATGAGTCGATTCTCATTTCACTCTTCAACTCTTCACAACTTCTCAATTATCTTTTATCGTTTAAGCCATCAGACTTAAAACAGTTTATGTAATTATCAAACATGTGTATACACATAAAAATAATTCAAGAGGGCTGTTACCACTACATACATTATTGTAACTTAAAAATTCTAAAATACTGATAAGATTAAAACTTTTACGTTGCCAGAAAAATTTTATTACGTTTTCAAAACAGAAAAATAATGATAATTACATCATTTTAAAAATGCAGCTATTTTAAAGGTAAATATATCTGTCAGATACTTTAAAACAATATTTAACTTGTAGTAACCCAAAGAAATTGAATTAATAATTTATTGGGTTTATAACTTATTCCTGTATCCTGCACTTGCTGCTATTGCAATGCTTTTTAGACCTAAACTGCATTTTGTTGCATTGTACTTGTACATGTGTAATAACAATAAAGTTGAATCTAATCGAATCTAATATAATCTTGATGAGTCACACTAATGGAATTGTTTTGTATTATTAAGCTCACACACTGATTTTTTTTTTTATACCGATAATATGGCACAGTACATGTTTTTGTTTTGTAAAAGAATGAAAAACTGTGTTTAATACAAATAACAAATTACCGAAAAACAAACATGTTTTTATTAAATGTATTTCTTACAAGCACGAACAGTAAATTTAAAAACAAACAAAAAAATTAACAATTTCGGCTGCTTATTTTATTTGAGGTTCTAAACTTGAAAACGTGCATGTAATTAAGTACATAACACTGGACAAACTTATTTTTTGAGTACTCGACTTAAAAAGTTGAGGTTTTTGCTATAAAAAATGCAGCTGATTAAAGAGGAAAAGATTTGGCTAACATAGTAAAGTTTGTTGTCTGAACTTCATTTTGTTAGATTTTGTCGTTACTTTAATATTAATGCAAACTGTTGCGTTAATTTTTTTGTTTTGTCTAAACAATATTTTTTAGAGTGTATGTTTACACCATAAGTATCTGATATTGACATTGTTCATAATGTCTAAAAAAATGGTAAATGTCTAATTGAAATACACTTTTTAGAGCATATACAGTTGAAGTCAGAATTATTAGCCTCCATTTAAATTTTTTTTTTCTTTTTCAAATATTTCTCAAATGATGTTTAATAGAGCAATAAAATGTACAGTATGTCTGATACTATTTTTTTCTTATGAAGAAAGTCTTATTTGTTTTATTTTAGCTAGAATAAAAGTTATACATTTTTTCAAACCCATTTAAGGTAAAAATTATTAGCCCCTTTAAGCTTTATTTTTTTCGATAGTCTACAGAACAAGCCATCATTATACAATAACTTGCATAATTACCCTAACCTGCCTAGATAACCTAATTAACCTAGTTAAGGCTTTAAATGTCACTTTAAGCTGTATTGAAGTATCTTGAAAAAAATCTAGTCAAATATTATCTACTGTCATCTTGGCAAAGATAAAAAAAAAAAAAAACAGTTATTAGAAATGAGTTATTAAAAGTTAATTCACAGTTCATTCCACTGTGGCGACCCCTGATAAATAAAATAACTAAGCCAAAAAGAAAATGAATAAATGAATAAACATTATAACTAACATATTTAATCGATGGTCTGTAGGTGTATTAATACTA